AAAGGACTGTGCAACCATGATTTAAACTAAAAGGGGCTGCATATGAACTCTCTCTTCCAATTTCAAAAGTGGGTAAGAAAGTGGGTAACTCTCCCCCCTCAGGGAGACTGAAGTTATTCATGTTGCTTCATATCAATCAGCCACGCAAAATGCACTTGAAATCAACTCAAAAATTACAGTCACGCTGCCCTACGGAGGGCCACATGCAGGAGCTGGTGTTACAGCCCATGGTGGTAAGACAGAGTCATCGTGGTTAGTATCAAAAGTCACAAGAACTCCCAGCTGCTTCCCCTAACTGCCTACAGCCACAACGAAATGAGAGATTCAAAAGTCCAGCCTACTTCTCACATTCTGGGAAACGCTTACTTGCTTTGCTGCAAAACAGCCATATAGGGTCATGGGCTCCTACTGGGAAAAACAGGAAGCTGTGCTTTTTCAAATGGAACTCAGAAAAAGTTAAAACAGTAGTCATGCAGGGATGGATGCTGCCGGTTAGCCCACTGCTTGAGACGCTTGCATCTTATATGGGAGTGCCTGGTTTGAGTCTTGGCTACTCTGCATCCAATCCAGCTTCCTGCTAATGCACCTGGAAGGCACCACAAGTGCTTGAGCCCATCACCATGTGGAAGACCAATATGGAGTTCCTGGGTCCTGGCTTCATCCTGACCTATCCACGGCTGCTGTTATGTGGGGAGTGAACCAGCAAATGGGAAGTTGGGTGGGTGGATGGATAGGTAGATGAGAGAGCAAGAGAGTGAGCGAGAGCTATGTCTCTTATGACAGACGGTAACACACTCCAAGAAGGCAGACACAGCCTTGGGTTGAATCTGCACACACCTCTAGAAGGCCATTCTCAGGATGTGATTTTGCAGTTGTGTGGAAGTAGGGCTAGGAAGGACGGGCAGGCAGGAGATCCTCTTCCACCTCAAATATGCTCAAGAAACTCCTACTTTAAAGACTCAAAGACAACAAGGAAATTCACAACAGGAGACGGGATGCTCCCAGGACAACAACCAGCATGGACTGGACCTTCACTGGGGACAGGGCCTCCTGGGCCCAGCCCAGGCCAGCCTGTGTTGGTGGCCCCTTGACTCCAGACAACCTCAACACAACCAACTGTCCTTGCTGGGTCCATACATTGTCAAAACTCTGTCCTCCAGTGTGATCTGGGCCTTTTGTCCAATTTTATACTCAGGTAACGAACACAAGCTAATAACCACAGCACTAAGCCACACACTCCCTCATGCACGCAAGGGTTCACTCTGCAACATTTTATTAAGCATCTACTTTTGTGTTGGGCACTGTTCTGGGTGCTTAGGATAAAAAGCACTCTACCCAACTCTCTACCCAAAGAGTCACAAAGACTACAAATTAAATGATATTCTTACTTTTTAATTTAAAAGATGAATTACCTCAGAATCTGCCATGAGCTGGGCAAAAAAAGAAGTATAATAGACAGAGAGGAGAGGCGATTTTTTTTTACCTTATCTTATTTATATATATATATATAGACAGATTTTTTTTTTTTGGTTAAAATTTTATCTAAGTATATGAAGGCAGAACAATAAAGAAAGGGAAGAGAGAATAACCCTTATCAGCTGCTTCACTCCCCACCCAAGTACTTGCAAAAGGCCAGGGACAGGATAAGCTTTAGCCCTGAGCTGGGAGCACAACCTTAGTCTCCCTGGTGAGTAGTAAGAATCCAACCATTTGAGCCATCACTGCCTTCCTGCATCTACAGCAGCAAAGAGCTGAGACCTGGAGCCAGGGCTACAAATTGAACCCAGTACTCTGATGCATTTCATGGGAGTCCTAACTGTTGGGCTAAACACTTACTGCCAAGGCGAGCGGTCAAGCTCAGCTTCATTAAGAAAGTGACACAGGAGCAAATGCCAAGCAGGTCCTGGCTAACTGTGAAGCTCCTCGAGGGGAAGAACCTTCTAGGGAGAAGAAACAGATGCCGACTTGGAACAACAAGCTTCCACATGGAGAATGTGTCTGCGCCATTGGTCGCACAGGCCTTCCTTAGGGCTCATAACGTAGGCGTGTGTTCATTTCATGCCATGCATTAGGCACTGGCCTGTGGCCTGATGTGTGGGATTCAAGCCACCTATGTATGGAGGTGGATGAAACACGGTGAGATGCACAGGTTCAACAGTCATGTTTCTGACATCTAGTTTTCCATTTCAAAGTCAGGGGAGTTATGCATTCAGGGCAGCAAAGGCTCCCCACTAGCAGATCAGGCCTTAGCCCCCGAGACCACTTCCCAGACTGGGATTTTTCCCTGGCTTAACTTGCGTGCTTCAAAAGAGAAGTGCTTTAAATGTCATGCTCGAGAAAAGGAGGATGTGAAATAACCACTGGAGAAGTCCCAGCAATTCATCTAGGAACGAAGCGACAAGCAGCAAGGCATTTGGAAACGATCCAAGGAAAACATTAAGTGTGTGACAGGGTACCTTTGTTAATGGAAGCCTGTACCGCATGCACATCTTTTTAAGCATCTCTTAAAGGCTCTGGGGATCTTTTACCAGATCACCTTCCTCGGAGTCACGGATTCAGAGAGCATCTTGTTCCAGGAACAGAGCTCACCTTGGCAGACACAAGCTTCGTTTTCTGCTCTGCTGGTGCCAGCTCGGCCGGCTGGGGCTTTGCCTGAACAGAACGTACCCCCTGGTAAGCAGCCATGGGAATGGGAGCAACAGCAGCCTTGGGGCACCGACTCATTGTTTTTGCATTTGCTGATCCAGCAGCCAGCAAAGGCCACCCGTGTGCTGAGGCTGGGAGAAGGTAAACCTGCATTGGAGCACTAAAGAGGTCCATCCCTTCCCGGCCCTGTATCCTACTTCATTTTCTGTGGCTTTAACAAAACACTTCAGACTGGTATTTTATGTAGGAAGAGGTCCTTTGAGCTCACAGCTTTAGAGGCATTTGAGCTTAAATGCCCAAGAAGAGATGGTCCCAACTGTTGGGACTCCAGTGAGGGTCTTCTGAAGGTTAATCATAACAACCTAGCAGATGCTATTAGGCCAGTGTGTGAGTCGAACAGGCTAAGGGCAAGACAGGAAGCTAGAAACCAGGAAGGGGGTGGGTTCCCTGTTCTTGCAGGAACTAAGCCAGTTCCAGCAGACCTAACCTGCTTGTCATACATGTATCAATTCATGAGAGTGGAGCCCAGTGACTTAATCAGGCCTGGCCTCTTACAGACTCCACTACCTCCACACCGTCACACCGGGCTTCAAGTGTGCATGCAGCAGGTGAACTTTTGGGGAACAGGCCATGTGCAATCCACAGCATCCCTTCCTCCCACTGTCCTAGTCAAGAGCACCTAAAGAAGTCTGAAAAGCCAAGGGTCCTCAGTGACACCCTGGGGTTTTCTGCAGTCACTGGGAGACCAGCACCCCCTGAGGCAAGTCACCGACAAGCAAACAACCAGTGAAGATGTGTGGACACCAGCTCTCCTCACTGCAGCACAAAGGTGGGCACCAGGCTTTGCACTAATTGGTCCCAACATCAATGTTGGTCTGTCCCTCACAGGAAGGAGCAGAATAACTAAGGACAGTGCAAGCATAAGAGGTAGCCAGACCCAGTTGAATGACATCATCACCACCTCACCACAGCAAAGGCCCATGTGCATGACGACACAAGACACCTTGGGGGATGCTGCACAAAGAACTCTGCCCTTAGAACAGACACCAATCACACTTGCTTATTATCATGAGTCTGCAGAAAGCTCCTGTCCATGTGTGGACAGAAACAGAATACAGTCAAACCTCTCCCCTAATCTGCAGGGGACACAGTACAAAGATCTCAGGTAAAGGTCTGCCACTAAGGACAGAACTGAACACTACAATACTGTCTCATATTTAATACATACACAAATGTATGATAAAGTTTATAAAGTAGGCACAGTGGCATTGCAAGTTAAGTCTCCGCCTGCAGCTCTGGCATCCCAAATGGGCACTGGTTCATGTCCTAGCTGCCTCACTTCCAATCCTTGGAAAGCAACAGAGAGTAGCCCAAGTGCTTCAGCCCCTGCACCCACATTGTGAAGCCAAGAAGGCCCCGGCTTTGGAACCACCCAGCTCTGGCTCTGGTAGCTATTTGGGGAGTGATCTAGTAGACAGAAGATCTCTGCTTTCCTGTCTCTCTGTAACTCTGTCTTTCAAATAAAAATAAGTATTAAAAAAAAAGTGTGCACAGTAAAAAACTAACAAAAACCAATAATATTATAACATAATAAACCTTATCTAAAACATGGTCAATTTCTTCTCTTTCTCTCCAAATAGTAACCAAAATTTACCAGACAGAAAAACTACAGATAAGGGGAAATTACTATACTGCAGTGGAAAATTCCAAAAATTTCAGTTGATAAGTACAAACCACAGCATATGCACATAATGTAATACGACTTAACAATAAACATAATAAACTATGAATACAGGAGAAAGCATGGATAAATCACAAATGCAACATACTAACCAGGCTTAAAAAGTGCTGTTGTATATGCTAGAATTCATTTCCACATCTTTTTCAAAAAGTAGAGGCTTAAGGAACTGAAAGCCAGCAAGGGTTTTGAAGGTGGGCAGCACTGAACTACAGGTGCACATGGGAACCTGGTGGCACTGAAGCCTTCCAGTGCGACACATGACAAAAGGTAGTGATGGTTAAAGTCAGAAGTGGGCAGCAAAAAGTGTGCTCGTCATTGTATAAACACTTTTGTCTTAAAAAAAAAAAAAAAGAGCGATCAAGGAGCAAGATTTTGGCACAGCAGTTAAGACAACACTTGGGTGTCTCACATTCCACAACCAAAGGCCTGAGTTTGAATCCTAGATCCACTCCTGACTCCAACTTCCTGCTAATGTACACTTGGAGAAGTAACACTGACTGCTCAGGCAGCTGCACCTAGCCCCTGCATGTGAGGGAAATGGGCCGAGTGTCTGGCTCCATTTGGAGAATAAATGAGCAGATAGAGGAACTCTGCCAGTGTCTCTTGGCCTTACAAATCAATCAGATAAATAAATAATCCTGTCTTCTTGATACGTTTTATTTTGTTATTTTAAAAACAAATTTATAGCCTCTTTCTATCTCCTGTGGCTCAACTTACTATTCAACCTGGCCATGTGCTGCAAGCAACCGACTTCTCTCTTGTGGAGAAGGCCATTACAGGTGAACAAGCTCCTCAAAATAACCCACCAACCACTACAATCCAGGCACAGGGAAACAGTACAGCTCAGGCCATGGGTAATCATAGACAAGAAACTATAAGGAGAAGGCCCCCAACCCAGATACAGCTGCTTTGACAAAAGAACTATCCCAGGTTATGCGAAGAACCTGACATTTTTTCATGTGTTCATTTTGGGCAAGGCATTGTTCTGAAAAACAGATGCAGAAAGTTCTGGAACTTAATCACACAGAAAGACACCTTCTTCCACTTCAATGCCATGCCTGGGTTACGCCCAGGCTCCTGGAAGGGTGTGGGGAGGGCGGGCGCACTAGCCCTGCAACGTGGCATTCATATCCTCTGTGCTGCAGACAGCCCCTGCCTGGTGGCTCCTGGATTGGGGTGAAGAGGTGGCTCTGTAGCATAAGCCTGGATGAACCTGCCAGCTCTCAAGTCTGTACCTCCCACACTCTTCCACTTTACTCAAGAAGCACACAGAAGTGATAGCTATGCCACCTGCAGCCTGAGATTGCCAACCTGGGTCCTGGGTGCTCCACGCCTTGCCCAGCAGTCCCCAGGAGATCCTGTAATAACTGGAGAGGAAGAGCAGACACCGGGGGGGGGGGGGGGGGGGGGGGGGGCTCTGCTGGTGGGCTTGGGAACCTGTTCTCTGGGCCTGGTAACCCTTCCTTCCAATCATTATTTGGGACTTCAGGCCCACCACCCACCTCCTCTAAGAGCCCGTATCAAGGCATAAGCACTCATTCCTGGAGGGCTCTTCATCTGAGACAAGAAGTGCTATCTTATGTGCCAGATCTTCTCGGGTTAAGCCGGTTCTCTCAGTGTAGACACCCACAGGCTACCTTTAACAAGACTCAGTTTCCTGGCTGGCACACCTGTGATTCCACTTGATAGGAGGACTATAGCCAGGTGGAGTTCCCACCCCCAAGATGGGGTATCAGCAACGTATCACACCCTCCATTTCCCAGCCTCCCCCCAACTCCCATCATACACATGGACTCCTGGAAACTGCTTTGCAATTGAATTGCCCACAGTCATGAGTAACGCCAGAAACCTGGGGACAGGGAGGAGTGGGAGGTGGTAGAGGGCAGACAACCCCCAGACAGCAGGGAAAGGCTCAAGCAGTCGGTGCTCTGAAACCCATGCATGTGAGAGACCAACACTGACTTCCGAACTCCTGGCTTTCAACTGGCCTACTACATGGAAGATCTTTCCCTGGTCGCCGTACCTGTCTGCCCCTGTCTCTCTGCCACTCTCTCTGGGGCCTTGCAAACATATAACATTAGTTTGCTTTTTAATTTTGAAAAGCCACCATTTCTTCAAAAAAATATAAAAAATCTTAAGAAAAAAAATAAATCATGGTGAACCCAATAGATGGAAATGGACATTTGCTTTTGTGCAGAAGTACAATCATGTTTAAGAAATGCTATCAATTTTAAAAAAAAGCAGAACAGTATGTAGAACATGATGCCATCTCAGGAACTGCACGGACATACTCATTAGTTCCTTGATTAAAATGTATGCAGACTTGGTGAGATCCAGAAGTATCTCACCAAGAAGCACTGGTAGGGGCCATCCCCAGGAGGGGCTGAAGGCATTCCCTTTGTGCTTTGAACAAAACAAGCACAGAGTATTACCTATTATGCATTTTACTGTGAAAAGCCCTGAGAAGACTCTCATTCTCTAACTGGCCATGGCAGTTAGGTACTGGTGACTATGGTTAGGTTATCTTGTTGTGAGACAAGAAGGCTTCTCCTTTCCTGGAAGATGGGGAATACAAATGCGGGACTAAGTTAACCTAGAAAAAAGACATACCGAACGAGACAGGAGTCTTCATCTCACAAGGCCTGGGTACCAACATCCCCCGTAATGGGACTGTCCACCAAGAACTCTGAACTCATGGCATTCACCCATTCTACCAATACTTAATCTCCAAATAAGATTAACAAGCACCCGCCTTTCTTCCAGACCATGATGATGGAGCTGGTGATGTGCTGGGGCCTGGTGTACCCACGTTGGCTCAGGAGAGTCAAATGTTCCTTTCTTTAGGAATGCCGTTAGCTGGATGTTAAACAAGGACACTTTGAGATGACACAGAAACAAATCACATCCCAATGCCTGCAACAGCAACCACTACACTGAAAGGATGGTGTTAGTGAAATCAGTGGAGCCAAAGACAAAACAGGGCTCCAAATGATGAGTACGAGTTGTGTGGGACGATAAACAGTCTAATGGCTGTAGATCACACATCATATTTAATGACACATTGATTAGGAAAACAGCAGAGTGGGATGCAGCTCTGTCAGTTGGCCATGGCAAAAGTCACTGGAACACTGTGGGAGGAGACCCAATTAGCTGAGTGGAATTCATCATGAAGAGCAGGCACAGTTTGCTGTGATTTATAAGCTGTGTGCTGCAATCATTATAGTCATAAAATTTGTAACCAATATATGGACGTGTATAGACATGTGAGTATATTATACAATGCATGCACATGTGTGTGTACGAACATAACATCATAAGCCGCATTTCCAAGTTCTGATCAATGACAGCATATATGGTGGTTCTCTCGGACAACTGCCTCATGACATCGCAGTTATCTTAGTACTAACATATTCTATAACAATAAAAGCACCTAACAATGCATTCCTAAATGCCTCCTTAGTGCTAAGACATATGGGACTATACATGTGTGAACACATACATATATATATACACACTCACAGACATTTCTAGTCCCAAGTGGCTTGCACTCTGCTGCCTCAGAATTAACTTCCTTGACTCTACTTTCCTAATCTGTTAAAGCAGCATAAAGTCACTTCCCACATGCCTTTAAGGATCAAAAAGAAACGAAGTAAGCTACAAACAGGTTACCAATATATTCATCCTTCCCTCCCAGACAAGGCTGATTTTTTTTTTAACAACTGCTCCCAAGCAAGTATCCTCTTGTCTTTTTGCTTTCACACAACTTTAAACTCTTTATTATGGCAGGAGGAAGTGCAATTCAAAGAGCCATGCGGAGCTGAAAACAGCTTTGTTCCCAACTCTCCCTGAGGAGGGGAGGGGGTGTCAGTTCTCCACAGACCCTTTCAGGGGCTCACAGGGGCAGTTCCTCCATATCCCACTGACTGCCAGAGGAGCTAATTCGCACCTAGGATTGCTGGTGAGGTTGTCTGAGCCCCCAGTGTTTTCTCATCTCCGTTAACAACAGAATCCTGGTGGACCTGCCATTTCTTCACCCTGGGTGCAACTCCAGGAACTTCCTAGAAGACTCGTTTGAAGTCACAATTAAATCTTATCCCTTTAGAACACAGACTACACACCTTTCTGGGTGTAATGAAATAAATTAAAAATGTACGGGCCTGGGGGTAGATCAAGTCTGTATTAAGATTTCCTTCTTCCATTCCCAGGCTCCAATATTCAAGCATCAATAAAGCACAATCATGAGACTGCCCCTCGCAAAGGTTTCACATCGGCTCTCAGATTCTCACTCCTCAACTTTGAGTCAGCCAGGCACAGGCAGTGTACAGGCTCAGCTGCAGATGTGTGCTGCTTGCTGGGAGAACCCACCATCACTGACATGTGGCAGACCAGCATCCTGAAACCTGCTACCGCTGGTACCCCTCTCTAGAAAAGGGATCAGCCATGCCATGTTCCTGGTCAATCCTCCCGGGTCTTAAAGCTCTGAAATGTAAAAGTTACAAGATACACTGAGACCTGGGGAAGTCACCAGAATGTTACAAGACATAGCTGTTTTGTGTGAATTTGACTCTATGCCAGCTAGCAGAGAGTGACATGGGGACTTTCATTGTACCCTTAAGAGAACATGTACATGGGATTTTCCATGACTGCTGAAGGCCTTTCATACCCACCGGCTCCACACCTATGGATTCAATCCACACTTGCCCACACTGTGTGGTTAGGTCTCTGATGATTGCTTCTGTACTGAACACGTACAGACACTTCTTCACTTTGCCATTATCCTACATATCCTAATATACTACAGCAGTAACTTAACTTACAAAGCATTTTCCTTGCATTAGGCATTATAAGTAATCTAGAGAGGATTCCAACAATATGGGAGAGGGTGGGCGTCCCACAAAGGAGTTCTTTCAGTTAGATGTTTGGCTCCAGCCCCTGACTCCAGCTTCCTGCTAAATGGAGGCCGAGGAACATAGTTCAAGTTGCTGGATCCCTGCCACCCACATGGCAAACCTGGACTGAGCTTCCAGTTTCCCAGCGCAGCTCCCACCATTGTGGGCACTTAGGCAGCAAATCAGATGAAAGACTTCTGAGATTTTGGTATAGGGGGATCTTGGAACCAATGTCATGAGTACCAACAGACAACTGATTGAACAAGAAAGCTGTGCCATTCTCTATCCTCCCCACTGATGGGCACTTAGGTTGATGCCACAACTGTGCTACTGTGAACAGCACTGTAATGGACATGGGAGTGCAGGTAACACAATGACTGAACACGTAGCCAGAAGTGATCTTGGTTGTAGAGGGACTCATGTCCTTCTGTCCACCTTTAAAATTCCTAGCAATTGTAACAGGTCCTTCATTTCAGAACTGTGTGAGATCGTGACTCCGTAATGAAGCCGATCATCAAACAAGAGCAATTTCAGAAATACCTTCCCCTTGTCAGGTGCTGAAAACACAGACAAGTGACACCTGAAGGAGCTCGCAATGCAAAGACACACCTTCACTCACTCATACACGCACACACACAAGAGAGGGGAGTACCCAATGAACCTGCCAAAGAGAAACTGCCATGGGAAGGCATCAGATTGAAATGGCATTACCAGGAATAATGTCACGCAGCCAA